ATGGGTAAGTATAAGATGCCAACTCATGTCTGTCCATTAGAGGGTAATCTGCAGCAACTCATTGGGCAAGGAATAATTCCCAGCAGGTAAATGAGCCTTCAGAAAGGTTTGATGCCAAAGCTCTGATTTTTAGTAGATGGGGAGGAAAAATATTGGGGTGAAAAAATGGGTAGTGCAACACTCCAGGGATACAGGGGGGTTAAAAAAAAAAAAAAAAAAGCAGTGGTTTCTGGAAAAGCTGTATGCTTCACTTAGAAGGTTTCATAAAAGCTTTCTTTTATTGAACACTCACTGTTGCTTGAGGTTGGCATGAACTGTCATAATTCAGAACTCTGAAGGCATGTATTTTTACGTCAGTAGCTGTGTTCTTTGTACAGTTCTGCTTCTCAGAAAGTTTGGCCTGTGTCTGTGCACATGAAGTGTATGCCTCATCCTTGTCATAATTTGTACAAATTAAGTAAATAATAAAATAGCTTGGTATACCTGTTTGATAGCAAGCATCAATACAATCTCCTCTCCCTATGGCCAGGTGGGTCATAAATCTGTTGTTGTGAACAGCGGATCTTACAAGCCACAGGGAATACATGATGCTGCACACAGTAGGTTGTTTTCTTTGTCAGTCTAGGTGGGTGCTGCACTATCTGTGGTTCACCCCTGCCATTTTCTGAGTCTCCCAGGCAGTGTGCTCTTCTGAGCAGGTTGCTGTCTGCTGCTCTATCATAAGAGCTAATACACAGATAGTTGTTTGTTTATTTGTTTTGTGAAGATGCAGGAAGGCCTACTTGTGCTCCCAGTGAAGTTCTTCACTGATAAATTAAAACGGCTTTCTACTACAAAGCAAGAGCATGTTGACTTGCAGGTACCCAAACGGACTGAAAATCTGTACCTCTGTGACACCACTGCAGCAAAACTGGTCCCATAAGTGAGACAGCATGCAGAAGTCTCTACCCTTAAAAACTGATGTCTTGAGTGGAGCTCAAAGTAGTGACTCCCTTAGTGGCAGTCATTGAGTTAAAAGCATTAAGGCTTTTTTTGTTCACATATTTTGGTTAACTTCTGTAGTAGAACAACTAATTGTTTCCAGTAGAGGGCAATAACACAACAAAAAAATCAAGCAGCGTATTTGCTAGTAACATTCTCAAGAAGTCAGTCAAGCTATTTGTCACTGCAGTGGGGAATTTTTAGCTTTTACTGAAATTATATTTACAAAAAAAACAAAAACAAAAACCAAAAAAAACACTTTTACCTCCTTGGATGAAGGTGAGAGAAGACTGCACATGTACATCCTTACTAACTGAGCTTTTGGAAGAAGGGTCTTCCTATTTAGACAAGATTCTACTTGCGGCATAAAAACCAATTTGTTTTTAAGAGCAAATCTGCTTGAATTAACCTTGTAAATAACAAAAAGGTGCCTGGGATTTCATTGCAAGCTAATCACAACCCCCATGACTTGAGTTATTTCATCCACAAAGGACTGCAAGTGTACAGGGTCTCCACAACTAATTACTCAGCTCATACATCCCATTTGCTGCATAGTGCACACAGAATAAGCTCTAAGCTATACAGCGTCTTCCCCTTCTGAACAACTTAATAGGTTTTGGTACAGGATTGCCTTAATTATTTCTTTTTACAGGGTTTGGTGTGCGCTGGAATGGCTGATATGACCAGACCAGCAGAAAAGCTCAGCACAGCACAGTCTGCAGTGTTAATGGCCACAGGTAAAGCCAGCTGTACTCTGTGCTTGTATGCAACACCCTCTCTACAACTGTATCCACTCCTTTTTGTATTCTGTCAGCACTAAGTCACTTACATAAAAAAGGCTCCGTGTGCTAGCTCTCACTGTCACTGTTACATGATAATTCTAGGACACGTTTATACTTGCTATTCAATCTATGAGAGGTCTGTGATTATGTAATAGGTTTATACATGTGTCTTAATTTGGAATTGTCTGGAGCAAGTTGTTTTGAGTTAGGATATAAATTTGGTTCTTTTGATTACAAATGATACTCTTGGCTCCAGGAAATAAAACTCTTCTGATTTGTTCACGTCAAGAAATTTTGAAATCAGTCCAGAATATCGTGGCTTTTTTAGAATGGATTTGAAGGGATTAAACAATGCTAGATGGAAAGAATTTCCATGTGCTACAAGAACTTGGAAGCAGTGGTATACAGACCACTGCACTGCTGTCTGCCATGGGTTTTCACATTGACAAAACCAATATTCCATACTCAAGCATCACCCTTGACAAAATCTGGTAGAAGAACTTGTGGCAGGTAAAGCTGAGAACCAAAACTACAGCTGCCATCTTGTTCCTTCTATGGATTTAATTTTGATATCTGGCTTTGTGCTATGTGCTTTGCATGATGTGTTCTATGATCTCCAAATGGGTGCAGCAAACTGGATATACTGCAGCAAAATGCCATTGCTCCGCAATTGTGCCAGGGTATTAAGGGTTAGACTGCTGTAGAGCACAGAGAGTCTTTATTTGATATAGAACTATGATTAATGTTATTGTCTGGTTATGTTATTGTGGAAAAATGAAGCACATACCTGTATCTCTCTTACTGGCATTTGCTGTGCTTCTGAGAAACAGATGATTGTAAGAAAAACAGTTGTCCAGCATGAAGTTGTAAGACCGGTGTACTTAAACTAGCCCAGGATTCCATCCCCAAACTGAGGGGATGTCTGAATATTTTAATGACAAAGACATAATGTCTCCTAACTTCTATTTTCACTCAACAGGCCTTATTTGGTCAAGGTACTCTCTAGTTATTATTCCTAAAAACTGGAGCCTGTTTGCGGTGAACTTCTTTGTTGGCTGTGCTGGTGGCTCCCAACTCTTCCGAATATGGAGGTATGTATTAAGAAGGACTATGTGCACACTGTAATTAAGCACTCATACCATGTAGTCTTAATCATGAAATTATAAATTCCACCAGTTTTCAGTGTCAGTACAACAGGCAAGGGGAAGTCAACAATTAAACATTACATTTTGCTACATTTTTAGTTTTTCAGATGAATAGCAGGGAAGCTTCTACATATTTTCCTTACAGCTAGAGCACTTTTTAAGGAATGATCTGTGTAAGCTGTAGTTTCTGAATTTAAGGCATTCTTTAAAAGCTGTAGGTCTGTCTGACAAAAAGCCTACACCGCTTCATAAGCTTCGTGCTTCTGTCAGCTTTCATTGTTGAATCCCATCAGTTCCAGTTGGATCAAAGGGTCCTTAAGCATAGCAATGTGATTTTTGGTTTTGGTTTTTTAATTGGGTTATTTCTTGAGGGGATCATTTGGCAATTTCTCCCTTTTTAAGTACTGGACAGAAATAATGCAAACTTAGCAACTAATTGGGAGCTTTTTACATTAACTAAACTACTCTATCCTGTGTTTCTACTCTCAAGTTCTTTGTAATTTTAAACCTCCTTTACTGAAGAGGTTGTTACAAAGACACTGTAACTGGAGCTCTAACCTTAGTCTCTGCTTTTCTTTCCAATAGGTACAATCAAGAGCTGAAAGCAAAACAACAAGAGCAGCTACTGCAAAAAGATGCCTAACTCCATAGGTCAAATCCAGCAACGCACAAACCCTTCCCCATGGGACCTAGCTTCACTAATTTTAATATTTTTGTTCTCTCAGAAACTGAAAAGGAAATCTGAAAGTCTAGAGAACATGCATTTTCTAAGTGCAAATAACAAAATATCTCCATACGTTTAAATAAAATGTGACCTTTTAAATTTAAGTAAAATTGTATGTCTTATGTCAGAGAACTTACATTGTCTCTTTAAAAGAAACTCACTGTGGATTGTGCCTTGAATTACTTGTTGGGCCTTACCTTACCTGACTGCTGAACAGAGCCTGTCATGAAATGGACTGTTAGCCAGAGTCCCAGACAGGAGTATATTTCCATATCACGGTGACATCTGTGTGGGGTTTTTACCCTACTTTAAAATAGTTCCTTTTTATTTTCTTTTTTATTTTTTCCAAGTTTCTGCCATCCTCTACAACTCAGGCTGATGTAGGTACCTGGTTCTTGGGAATGTGAAAAATGAACAGCCAAAACATCTGTTACGCACTTTTCACACCCTCCTTAAGTATGTGCAGATTTTCTGTGAAGCTGTGCACTCAGGGAATTCTCCAAAGCTTTGGAGGAGGTGCTCTGCTGCTGTCTGTGGCATGTTATGAATGAAACCTTTGAAAGCCAACCTCTCTCCCTACTTAATTTCCTGTAAAGAGAAAAAAGTAACACTGTGAAACAGCTTCAGAGCAAAAGCTGTACATTACATTGCAGAAGTCCATCTGTATCAGGCAATTGTGCTCAGAGCATGGCATCCATCAGCTTCCCCTGGCATGCTATCACAGACCTTTTCCTCCAAAGCTATGAGCCTGTAGCCAGGGGAAAAAAATGAACTGTCAGAGCAGCTCCTTCTGCATTCAGCTCTCAGTAATATGAATGCCTTGAATGATGAAGTTGACAATGGCTTCTTATTCTCTGCTCTGCCGTACTTTGCCCAATCCAAGTTGAGGTACCACTCCCATATGGCAAGGGTGGAGACAGGAGGAAACTGTCTGTATTTAACAACAGCTGCAGCACCTTGCTGTGGCACTGAAATCCTTGTGTTTCTCACCCTGTGTGTAAACTATCTAGCAAAGAGTATTAGTGCAGGACAGCATTTTCTCTCCTTACAAGACACGTGCCTGATACTGCATCAGATACCCTTCTCCAGAGGCTGCCCTGCCTCTGAAAGCTGTCTCTCTCCCAGCTGGATTCTGCTGGAGATATGTGCTGTAATTGCTGTAACCTCAAGCATTTTCTCTTGCATATCTTAGTTCTTCTTGCTCAATCCATGTAGGGTATCACCTCAAACAGTGAACTCTCCAGCTGTGTGTGTTTGCTGAGCTGACAGAGAGTGGGATGACTGAAAAATATTGCCAGGAAGAGAGTTGGTACCTTTCAGTCCCCCTCCCTTCCCAGTTCATGACGAGACTCATCCAACAAACCAGAATTGAGGGGGGAAATAAGTGTATTAAAATATTCACAAGATTACAACAGAAAATGTGAAAGTCCATTCAAGAAAAAATATCCAGGATAACTTTCCAGATGAGTCTGTAAAAGCAAAAGCACTAACCGTTGATACACAGGATGTTCACGTAGTCAGGCCATGCAATGCATATCTAGCTCCCTCACACAGATTATACACCTGTCTTACAGGTGTTTGTTCTCCCACATACCTCCAAATGGAGGGTTATGAAAAGTATCCAGTCTATATTCCCAATTATATTTACCGCATAAAAAGAGCTGCCATTGTAGGGAGACAGAAAAGATTGCACAGCACACTGATCTCAAGAGGCATTGAACTTGATTTTAGAGTGCAAAAACACCTTTAATTGAAGGGTTTAGTAGCCTTAGGGCAGTGAAGAGCAGGGAAAGAGAAGCCTCAGAAGAGTACAAGTCCTGAGCATCTTTATATGATTTTGTAGTTTGTTACCTAAATATTAGCACCACAGGCCAATGGCCACTGCCCAGAAGTCTTACCCACCTTTTCAGCTTTGATAGTTTTAAAAAGAAAATAATTTCATCACCTTTGTAGTGTCAGAACAAATTGCATTTGAGGTCCTAGGTGGATATATTATTAATGTAAAATCCAAGACAAAATTTTAAAACAGACTGAAAGTATTTTGGTCATAATTCAAATGGCCTGCATTTTACCTCAAAGAATCCACTCTACAGCAACGCAGCTTACAAGCTGCATGTATACATTTCCTTCAGTTACCAGACAGATGGTTACCTGAGCAGTTCTCACAGGTTTAAAAAAGCTGAAAACTTATTTCCAGCTCATTTTCTCACAAACTGAAACAGCGCCAAAGCTTAAAAAAAAATAATCCAAAAACAAAAACCAATGCAGGTGTCCAGTTATTATCATGTAGTTAAGTATAGGGATATATTTGCCAACCTATAGTGGCTCTTTAATGAACACGTGTAATGTGTGATTTAGTGCCATCTAATGAACACACTGATGATCTCCCTCACAGAACAACTGCTGAAGACAAAAAAGGCAATGGAGATTTGTTGTACTGAGTATAGCTACTGATTTACTAACGTCAGTATAGTTATGCCTAATACCCTTCAAAATCTATTTCTGCTGATCAGTAATAAAGAAGAATATATCCACTGTTAGTAGAGACAAAACTCTTCAATTTGCAGCTCTGTTCAGAAGAGGGGATGACAAAGATGTGTGATACCATGTCTCTAGGGGGTGCAAGCTGGCTCAGCAGCCAGAGCCCAAGTTGGCACTCCCAAACTGTATTCCTATAATGCATACAAGGTCACTTTTACATGTAAAAGTCTATTTTTTTCCTCCTCACAGCAGAGAATTCATTGTAAATCTTTTACATCATGCAGACCTTCCTCAGCTCCATCACCCATGAGTGCCTGCTCGCCTAACAGTCATTTGCTACTGCCTCAAGATTCTTGTCAGTTCTTCAGCTGGGCTGCAGCAAGACCAAAAAAAGAGCTAGCAGTGGTACTGACACTGGTTAAGGACAATACACTTCATTTTCCTAAAAGTACATGCTGTTCTTTTCCACCTGCAAAAGAGCATCAAAGAATTAAGAAAATAGCAGTAGAGGACACCCAACTGAATTTCTGTCACCATAACATCACAATCTGATGACTTTGTCTGATTTCAATCTCTGCTTGCTAGCCATCAAGGAAATTAGAAGTCATCTGTCACTTGAGATGATGTCACTAAGTAAACCAACTAACATCAGTCCCTTTCATCAGCACAGACTATTATATCCAAATAAATAAGCTAACACGCTGAGTGCCCAAAAGTTCACAGTAGTTCTGTTCCATGCTGCCTCAAGTTCACAGTGTCATAGAATGGCTTGAGTTAGAAGGCAGCTTAAAAACCACCCAGTTCCACCTGTCTGCCATGGGCAGGGCTGCCAACCACACCTCAGGCTGCCCAGGGCCCATCCAACCCAGCCTTGAGCACCTCCAGGGATGGGGCATCCACAGCTTCTCTGGGCAGCTGTGCTTCTGCCTCACTACCCTCTGAGTGAAGAATTTTCTCCTACCATCTAACCTAAATTTCCCCATTACGGAAGGTCTCCAGAACTCAGAGTACTCAAAAGGAGCTTACAGTACTCAGAAAGAGCTTATAACCAGGAGATAGACTGACTTTTTACACAGGCTGATGGTCTGATGGTGATAGGACAAGAAGGAATGGTTTTAAACTAAAAGAGGGGAGATATAGATTAGATATTAAGAGAAAAATCTTTACTCTGACGATGGTAAAGCACTGGAATAGGCAGCCCGGAGAACTGTCGATCACACTTGAGATTGATTTCTACTATTCCTATGGGGAAGAGAGCTTGTTTCTTTCCTAAAACAAAACAAAACAAAACAAAAAACAAACAAAAAAACCACCTCAATATGCCTTCACACACAAGGCTGTCTGAATCCAAGCAGCCTTGCAATGAGACTTCTCTCTTTAGGTACATACCTGTACCTAAAGAAAACCAATGAAATTACACATTTCCTATAGTTAGCACCAGAAGTAACAGGATTGTACTCAGATTCTTAGGTAGAGCCCAGCAGAAAAACAATCAAACAACAACAAAAAGCCCCACAAAAACAGTGATTTCAGAGCAAAAGACAGTCCTATTTTCTTGTAGCACCAAGTGTTTGATAATTAAATTCATCACATTTCTCCCTTTTACTCTAAAATGTCTAGGGAGAAAGGTGGTAATGCACAGCGATGTGCATAGGCAGATTAAAACAAAGGTTTTCCATCATCAACTAAGCTCCTGTTTCTTGCTAAGTGTAAAAGAAATATTTGGAAGAAACAGCCCAGATAGGGAAAGCAGCAGAAGGATTCACTGCAACTTTAGCAGCACTTCTAACAGAAGCAAGAGTTGTTAGGCAACCAGTCAAGCATGATCCTGATGAAAGAATATAAAGTTTGCAAACCCAACTTTGTTGAGAAAAAAGAATGAAGAAAAAGCCAGACTCTTCTCAGTAGTACTCACGGACAGAACAAGAGGCAATGGTCAAAAGTTAAAAATCAGGGAGTTCTACCTGAACACATGGAAACACTTCTTTTACTCTGAGTGTCCAAACAGTGGGATAAGTTGCCCAAAGAGACAGTTTCCATCTGTGAAGATACTAAAAATGCAATTGGACACAGTCCTGGCCAACCTACTCTAGCTAAACCCAATCTGGGTTTAAACAGATAATTTCTGGAGATCCTTTCCAACCTCAATCATTCTGTAAATGATTCTGTGAAATAAACCAAATTAGGAAATAGGTAAGAACCTAAGAGGTTATGGTAGATCAAACTGAAAATGAACTGCTTTTAGAGAAAAGTTAACACCACATAAGGATATACAGAACAGAAATCCTACTTACTATATGCTACTGTGAAAAGACCTCAGCTGGAGTGCCACCTCTAGTTCAGAACACCAGATTTCTGGGTGCAGATGGGACTGCTAAAGAAAGATCCTCTTCAGCAGAAAAGAACAATCAGGGATCCCTAACAAGTTATGAGGAGTATCATCTACAAACAAGAAGCTGGGAAATAAGATTAATCAAGTAGTAGACTTGTAGAAAAGAAGAAAATGAACTGCCCTCCACATCTGTCTGTGCAAATAAAGATTATAAAATTAAAAAAAAAGAAAAAAGAAAGAAAAAAAAAAAAAACAAAAAAAAACCCACACTGAATTAAATACCAGAAGGGAAAAAAAAAAAAAAAAGTGAAGCTCTAGATTTCTTTCAGAGGTTATTCAGCCTTCATTAAAGGCTTTCGAGAACAGAGAAAGCATCTCTTCAGAAATGGCAGAGGTATAGTGGAGCCCTGAGGGAGAGGCAAGGGAATATCAGAACTTCCAAATCCCTTGGAGCCTTTTTTTGTGCTTATATGAAGTGTCATTTTTGAGAAAGAAACACTTCATTGCCTCAGACTTTCAGTGAACTTTTCAGCCACCTAGAGCTACAGTTTCCTATCTCTTTAACTCACTAGCTCTTCAATTTTCACAGGTAAACTAAAATTTCACAGAATTCATTAGGTCAATACTATCCCTGTACCTTAAAGGACTAAGCTTGAATATACAGGCTTAATACAGAAGTAAACAATTTGGTGAACTGTGTTAGACAAGTCAGGCAGATCTGAACATTTTCTTCACTTGCAGAGGTAAGACATCTATTTCTGATAGCTAGGAGTCACAATTCTGCTTACAAGACCAAATGAGAATGTCTACCTCATAGGAGAAGGCAGCTTTTGTACTGACAACCTGACCAAGAAAACATGAATACCCTGCGAAAGTTACCTTTTTTGTATTCACCTCAACAACAACAAAAGAAATTAGGCCCTATAAACAAAAAAAAATCTCCAAGTCAATCTAGAATCCTCAGGCATCTTCCAGTTTCTCCATTGATACAATAAAAAATATTATTAAATTGTGATGTGAGTTTGCACTTTCTCTCTCATCATACAAGATACAAAAAGAATATTGGCAATTTATAAGCAGAATTCTTAGCGCATTTCAACATGCAACATTGGTCTCACTTCTCTACGATTAAATAGACTATTTACACACAATACATATATATCTTTCCCTCTGTATGCACATGCATTGGTCCTAGCCTAGGCATCAAAGGCCACATGTGAGTTCTCTGGGTCAAATTTTGTTTAAGCAATTCCAGTCTGAAAGAGTGTTTTGCTATAGACAGGTTAGGATCACATCTCAGTTCTTCCGAATGTCAGCATAGACCACAGACTCTGACTTGTTAATCTTGTTGCTGTGCTGTCCTCCGGAGTGATCTAGCTGCGCGTAAATGACTGGGCCCTGCAAAGAGAATGAAAAACACAGTCAATATTCAGAATAGGTCATATTGCCCCTCCCTTCAGCAGGGGCTACAGCAAGACCACACAGCTTTTATGACTGTTAGCGACACTTTGAAGCAAGTGGAATGAGCCCTCACCTATAAATGTGCCTCTAGTCTGCCACCTTTGTCATACCAGGAGTATGTGAAAAATTTCCTCCCTTTAATACTGTTAAGGCTGCTTGCTTTCTCAAAGAAAAGCTAAATCTAGAATCATCTGTTCTGAAAAGCAGCCATTTTTAGATGTTGTAGAGAGAAGAAACATACTTGGCTTAGTCAGATGTATGCCAATGCAATACTTCACAGGAGAAACTATGCTACAGAGTTACCAGTAGATAACCCAGTGTACTAAATGCACTGACATGTCCTGTAAATCTCAGCACAGCTGTACCAGTCAGATAACTAAGAAGAGAACAAACCTGCAGCCTCCTCAGGACATCACAGTCACTGGCCAAGCAAACGATGGGATCAAGGTTTACACAGCAGCGAGCCAAGAAATACTAAAATGGTTCAGTAATGCAAAATTCTTACCTCACTTTCAAACCAACCTAGCTCAGAGTTTTAAAAAAGGAATTGAATCCTTGGTCAGTTAGGCCACCAAGGTTCCCTTTGCTACAAACCAACCCAAGGCGTGGTGCAGACCCACAAACAAGAGAACTACTTAAGACCATAATTCCAGAAGGGCATAAAATAATAGGAAGCATCCAAAGGAGGGCTCTGAAGATTGGGCAGGGTCTGGAGGGCAAGGTGTGTGAGGAACAGCTGAAGTCCCCTGGTTGGTTCAGCACAGAGCAGAGAAGCTGAGGGGAGGCCTGATGGCGGCTGCTACCCCTCATAGGCAGCAGAAGGGCGGCACTGAGCTCTGCTCTGTGTGACAGAGACACGGCACAAGGGAACAGCATGGAGCTGTGCCAGGGGAGGGCAGCTGGGGGTTAGGGATTGGTGCTGCACCAGAGGGCGGTGGGCACTGAATGGGCTGCCCTGGGCTGTGGGCACAGCCAAAAGTGCTGGAGTTCAAGAAGCATCTGGATAACGTCCTTGGACATAGGGTTTGAATTTTGAGTGGTGCTGTGTGGAGCCTGGAGCTGGAGTTGATGATCCTTGTAGGTCCTCTCCAGCTTGGGATACTGAGTGATCCTACACACATCTGGTATGCTTGGTACCTTCTTGTGCCAATCTGCTCAGCATGACCCAGCACTGACAGTTATTGCCAGGCTTTCCCTACAAAAGACTGAAACACAGCCACACACCTTTGTTCTATTTGCTGGAGTGGAGGACATTAAAGTATCATCTTTCAGGAGAGCATGCAAACACACAGCCGTTTCCTAAAGGGCATCACCCAAAACACAGCCACAGGAAAGCAAGCTGTAGCTATTCCAGATGAGCCAAGGACAGAACCGTGACCTGGAATGCCTGACAAGGTAAAGATGGGAGCTCTACGAAAGCTCTGACCTGCAGCTCCCATTCTGCATGCCACAACTGAAATAAACACAGAGCAGAAGGCTGTGACTGCCTACCAGGTGATCTAAGAGGAGAGATCACATACAAACATTACCCGCACAGGACAGAAAAGGACTGTTTTGTTGGGCAGATGGAAGAGGGCAAAAATTACAAGGATGGATCTTTCTGTTTGATTCAGGGTCTTCTAGCTATTTTTGCCTCAAAATGATTTCATTCATTTAACTCCATTTCTGTTTTCCTTAGTTTCAAGAGAGAACAAGCTTTCACAGATATTTCTCCCAGTCGCCACTCTCCAATTCCATTTATCTTCCAAAGCAACTATGGGCCAAAGATGAGAAGATACCTTCTATTCAGAAAACAAAATCTTTGAAGAACCACTTCTGCACAGCTGTTTTCTTTCCAACACAATGACAAAGCATGCACCTGCTAAATGCCTTGTTCTCTTTCAGAAGAACATACAAACAAAATGTCTTCCTTCTAGGTAAAGCACTTCCCAAGTTACAAAGAAAAATATTAGAGAAAGGGGGAGAAAGAAGGAAGAACATTTGTAAGTAGATATAAAATGCTGAATATAAATAAAAGATTAAATAAATGATATAAAAAAGATATGCATGTCTTAAGAAAGATGAATTTTAGAGTTTGATTAAAACAACTTGGGGGTTTTTTCAGCACTATTGGCTCTCACATTGTTCTGGTCTCTGAAAATATATTTGAATTACGTTATTAACTCCAATTAAAGCTTGGTGCCTATAAAAATGTTAAGGAAAAGTGAGCCTAAGGTTTATTTGTAAGCAATTTAGGAATTCTCACCTGCCTGAAGTCATAGTTTAAGGAAATGGTAAATTACACTCTATGGCACCTTGTATGAGTTAAAAAAAAACTACAACTGCATAAAGTACTCAGTGTGACATCTCAAGTTTGCTCAAAAAATCCTGATGAGTCAGTTTTCTACTGCAGGAGTTCACTTTGCATCAGTTATCTTACCACCACTATTATTTTATGCCAGGTTAAATATAATTATCCTGCTCCAACCAGAATGTCAGATGATGATGATGATGAAGCTGACTGGTGTGGTCACCTGATCCAAATCACACTATTGTCTAGATATATTCACCATCACCTAAATAAACGGAATATTAACTAAAACAGAAAAGAAGGAGCAAGGATTTATTACAATGCTCCACCTATTTGATTTGTTGCCAGCTGATTTTCTAGTCTAATTCAACATGCCCCACATGTCTCTCGCACGTCTGCTCAGTACCACCTCACTGAAAAGTAGCAGCTGAAAAGTAACCAGTTTCACTAGCATACTTCAGAAACTATTGCAACAAGCTTCTGGAGCTCCATCAGGGAAAAGCTAACATGGTGCTTTCACCTTTCATTGCACCAGAAAATGCCTCCCTAACATAAGGAGAGAGAAGAGAAAAAAAAAAGATCAGTTACAAAATATGGGCAGTCCTTGGTAGGAAAATGCAAGGGCTGATGATCACTAGCAAACTTTTAAAGGACACTAAGTATGCAGGAAAATCTATGGGAACCACGTTGGAGTTAGCATATTTTCAGACCATACACATCTGCTTTTCAGTTTACTTGCTGCAACCCAGATTACTAGCTCAACAAGGACATCCATCCAAAAAATTCATTTAGTTCCTGTCCTCACCAGAAATGCTTTCCTACTTCATCCAAATAACAGTCATGATAGAGTATGAGTCACTGCAGAAGATGGCATGGCAAAGAAACATTGTACACAAATTTGACAGGACAGAACATACCTACTGAGAAGGAAGAAACGGTGAAAACAAGTGGAATTGAGTCAATCAAATGAACATTAACAAAACAAGACAAGTTTTATCTAGATTTCAAAGGCAGGCTCTTATTAATCACTCCAGTCCATTCCAGTCAAAATCTGAACCATTTTTAAACCTTGATTACTTGATTATATTGCCTTCAGGTTCAGAGATTCACTGTTCTCTGAAGTCATTATGTTTGCATAATAAAACTCTGTGTTCTGGAAGTACTGCACCTGTCAAGAATAAAAAATGCACTTCACAAACAGCAGTGGAGATCTTCCCTTTATCCAGCTCACTTAGCACTGTATTTTTCCCCCTGTAGTATTAACACACAGCTCTGTTATTTTGTCAAGAAATTTGGTGTCACCACTGATTTTAAAATTTCTCTAAGTCCACACACTACCCTGTAGACACATGCTGCAAGATGACATTAAGAAAAAGCCCCTTTTTGACTTAAAATCATGCAGGATCTGTATCGCATGGGAACATTGCTGAACATACACAAGAGGTAAGAAATGGCTTGCAAATAGGAAAATCCTGTAAAGAGGTAATCATATATTGCATTGAAGCCCTGTTTGATGCATGCCCTCTCCCTTCTGACTGCTTTCTCACAGGATGTTTAGTCTGAGTAAGAGCCACCTCCTTTCCTTCAAAATCAGTGGGAACACAGAAAAATCAGCCTTTACCAGCACCAGTAAGAACAAGACAAATTTCATAATTTCAAGCCCACAAAAGCCAGGTGGTTCTGCAGAAAAGAAATCTCAGCAGCAAGAGCCAAATTCAGACTGATCATTTCTGGTAAGCGTTTGGTTCATTTTCATGTAAAGGAAGTACATGCCATTTAGAGCATTTCAGAGCAATGAGAGATTAAGTAAAACTCCTTCCCAGCACAATCCTAGAGCAGATTAGGCAGTTCTAATGAATATTACATATCTAGTAGACAAGGTTATCTCTACACTAAACAGCTACCTGTTACCAACTCCTATCTTCTTCAGGATCTCATAGTTGCTCTTCATTACTGTGTATGCTAACACAGAAGATAAGAACCATCTTTTTCATACATTAGTACACAAAGGGCAAAAAAACTACCTCAACATATCAGAACGTTACCCTTTCAAATGCACATCTTCAAGAGAAGAGTTCACTGGTCCCAGCGTACTGCCCATCTCTCACCCAGCTCAGATACCCCCCTCCCTCCTCACCTTAACAGACAGCGCCTAAGTCACACGTCCCACCCTGCCTCCAGCTTTTCCATACCATCTCCCCCACACTCCAGGAGGATCCTGCTTCAGAAAGCAGCAGGAAGCAGTTTACCTGGTGTGATCTGGCGGGTACGCTGTTTACCAGACCCTCTGTGTCGGAGGGCGACTTCTGCGGAGCCTGCTTAACTGGTGACATCAAGCTTTCAGATGTACCGCAGCTGACGAGGTGGCAGAGCAGTGTTTGCACGACAATGTTCAAGAAGCACAAACAAACAAAAGAAAGAACAAAAAACAAAAAACGAGTGATGGCAAGATGAAAATGGCAGACTACGCCAAAGTAAAAGTGAACATAATGGACTCTGTAATAAACACATACAATTCTCCATCTCTCCCTAGTCATTTCTCTGTCCCTTCTCCTAGTCTGACTGCTGCGCGACATGAAGCGACAACTGCTAACACTGAACAACAGCTCCTCCAAAACTCCTGCTTCCTAGATATTCTCATTCAAGCCAGCCAGTCTAAAGCTTTACAGCCCACGTACCTATATGTTTTCTTCACATAGGTTTCAGACTCAGTTAGCAGTGATAAACAACAGCTATCTTCTAACTACTAGCTAAGCATGATACCATTGCCACAGTAAAAGCAAAAACTTGCAAGAGCCACCAGCTCTCCATACCACCCAAGGTACTTGCTACTGAACATCACATTAGTTCCCTTGCTTTTCTTTGGGCAATGGTTCCAAAATAATTCTGCCCACTCATAAAAGACAGTAATCCCTGGAGTGATTACTTTAAGAGTTACAAGTCTCATGTATGCTATGTACCCAGATACAGCTACTTGAATATCTAAATTGGCAAATCTTGTTTGAAAACTCAGAAAACTGTCTTTTGGTAAGAACTAACACCTCTAAAACAAGGTTGCTAGTTTTCACTTGATGCTTGCTTCTTCTCACTCACTTAGAGCAGGATTGAAAAGAAAGCAAGCCGACAATAGACAGAGAAACGAATACCACAGACATAAGTATATGAGCCTTCAAAGTTAAGCTCAGTAGCTTCTGGGTAGTGCAGTACTGTTTTTCTAATGCTATGTCTATCTTCTGTTACCCATCCACCCAAGAAAGAAAACTGTCTGCCTCCTTGATTGCAAACACATAAGCTCCCTTTGCTACCACAACCCTCTTGGCATCCTTTCCTCACAATCTTTGTAGGAAGACAGTGTACAAAGCAAGTATAGAAACAAACAAATGAGGACTGTGACATTAAGCAGACCACCTCTTCACAGGGCAATTGTACTTTATCCTTTGGTAAGTCTAACTATAGAAGATTTAGCTCTGCAAACATGCAGCAGTAAAACAAAAAAAAGAAAGAAAGGCAAAGGAGAAGGTGAAGGAGAAGGAGAAGGAGAAGGGAATAGGGAAGGGGGAAGGGGATGGGGAGGGGGAGGGGGAGGGGAGGAGAAGGGGAAAAGGAGGGAAGGAGAAGGGGAAGGGGAGGAAAAGGAAAAGGAAAAGGAAAAGGAAAAGGAAAAGGAAAAGGAAAAGGAAAAGGAAAAGGAAAAGGAAAAGGAAAAGGAAAAGGAAAAGGAAAAGGAAAAAAAGGAAAAAGACTGCAAACACAGAGCAAGGGGTTTCTACTCTATCTGAGAGACAGAGCAGCTCTTCTGTGACCAAGATGACATAACCATGAATTGTTTGCTTTATTCACAAAATTTCTAAGATCCATACTAGCTAAAAGTTAAAATTTCTTTTTAAGCAGCTCATGCACATAGGTCACTGCAACTGTAAGTTTTCAAGTGGCAGAGCTCTGAGCCACAAGAACACTTAATAGGGAATTTGTTTTTATCCTGATACAGAAAGGACTTTCTTTTGCTTTAGGCAATGCACCGGCAAGTTCACTGCGGGAAGAGATGGAGGGACACCATTTGAGAGAAGAAGCAATCCCACCCCAGCTAGACATGAGACAATGAAACCCAAGCATCCAGTGAAATGCATCATCCCTTTGCCACAGATTCCAGCACAAATTACAGTGGAGTTATGGAGCATAGAGCTGGCTGGTTAGTCAGCAAAAGAAGAGGAAATGTGTACACATACACACAGGTATTAACAGCAACCACCAACTTGATTAGTTACCATGGTGTCTAGTGGGACTGGAAGAGAAGACCCAGCCCTGCTACATTCCCAATCTGGCGTCTATATCAGGATCTCTGTAAGGAGAGGAAGATAAGCAGGATCCGATCCCAGCACACCAAGGCAGAAAGGAAAAATAAAAACAAAAAACAAAAAAACACCAAAGTCAGATCATGAACGGAAACTGCGGCCATGCAGTGCCCCAGCCCACCTCAGTTCAAGGCAGAGTTGTTATCTAAGAGTAAGTGCATCTCACCACTACCACCACTCATTAGGTTAGTGTCATGGAGAAGAAAGTCTGTAAGTTTGAAGGGGGTCACAGCACATTTGATTTCTCTTAGCATGTCATGCAGAGCTGGCATGGTCATCAAAAGCAGTATTTAATCTTCAGAGATTACTTCCCTGGGAGAGTAGTTAAATCTACTACAAGAAATTACAGCATATAAGCTACTTCTCCAGGCTCAGCTCCAGCACATATCCTTCAGCAGGAGGACACTGGACAGCCGGGTCACTCAGAAGCAAAGCATGTGAACCATCTCATGTGCACTTTTGGTGCATGACACTCCTCAGTTTTCAGGGGAAGGATGCATGCAGAAAGTGGAAAGCAGACTTTCCACACAATTTTGAGCACTTCACTGCCTTCACTGCACTCAGCTTTACCATTGGGAAAAGCCAACTCACTTTCTCTAAGCTCTCCAACTGAGAGAAGGAGAAGGTAAAGCTCAATTTAGAAATCTCCACGAGTTTATTTTTTGAGCTCTTTTCTTCCACCCTACAGGCAACCAAAAGAACCTGCAGGAAGCAGGAATATTTGTTGGGGAAAGAACAGAAAACAGTTATTAATTGTGGTTTCATTTCTAAGATTAAAGACATAGTTTTCATCCTTTCTTAGAGAAATAACCAACTAGTTAGAGAAGGAGAAATGAGAAAGTGCTTTCCCCCACCACCACCAAGCTCCAAGCTCAAGTCTGCTTTTATCACGTCTTGTTGGTTTCTTTCATCACCACTTCAAAAGATTTGTGCTTCATTTTGGAGATATGCTAACACTAAAAAAACTTTTCAGGGATGGCAACAGTTAACTAGAAACAAACAGCAAATGAGAATGGATTTGAAGTGGCTACTCCTTCTTTACTTGAGTGGTGACGAACACGATGTTGGCAAGTGTACTCCAGACTCAGGAGTATAACACTGGAAATTGAAAAATTCAGTCTTAATCTCAACAGACTGCTTCTTAAAATTTCATGCGTGGCAGTTTTCCTTTGGCAAGGGGGAGGGTAGAGGGATGAGGGACTAGGAAAGGGAAACAAAGCAGCTAGGGGATCTTCAGTTAAGTGTTCACAGGGCAGGGGATCAACATTTAATACTTAGTGATTTTCAAGTGTAACTCATGCTCAGTAGGTCTTTCAAGCACAACAAAAAAGATAACCATTATAGACAGATGATCAGTCCAACACATGGCCATATCCTATCTCTAGCCATGGTTGCCAAGCCCTGTCTGACCCACCCCCTCTAAGCCCTCCCTCTGATCCTACTGCTGTTCCTCACATCATTCACAGGTGAGGAGAGAGATCTCTTACCCAGAGTAACGTTTTTTAGAGTTGTTCTTTCTCATAACAAGACACACGACAATAGAGATGAGCAGTGTGAGACCTGTAACCGTACCGATGACTATCCCTGCCACCATGGCAATGGGGAACGCAGGCAGGCTGTCTGGGGAGAGAAGGGAGAAAACATTCAACTCTTCTGCATTCCCTGAATAACAGAAGTGCAAATGACACATGTTCTTGACCTTGGATTCTTTTACAGCAGAAGCACTAATGTCATACCCAGGAATTAAAACATGCGGCCTAAATGGTAGCAACAGCAGGCAGCTAGCAGAATAATGTATGAACAAATCAGACACCAAGAGCATTCTTTAAGTTACCATCCTTCAGAAGAGACTTTACATCGAGAATTTTTTTACGTGTGAAGGAACACAAGTGATAATGACAATAATCCTTATTTTGTACTTGAGAAAAAAAGTTATGTTCATCTGGTAACTCTCAGTGAGGTCAACAGGAAAAGGCAGGCATACTTGAAAGCACTTTGCACATCACTGATCAACTAAGAGTGCTGAATGCTGGGTGTTCTCTGGGTAGCATGCAGCAGACAGCCCAATTACTACCCACGATCACTCTAAGAGCATTTATACATGCTTCTGGTGTCTCAAATACATCTCTATACATTTTTATAGTCATTCTTCTCCTTCTTAAGTCAGGTTCATTGAAAGTTATTAGCAATATGCTTACAGGAACACAGTATTGCTTTACTCACGTTTTCCCCAGTACAATATGGGGGAAGGGGAGGCCAAGAAAGAGCAGCCAGAAATAAAAGCCAGAGAATGAGTACAAAAGATTTAGAAGAGAAAGAATACACAAAGCACCATTATATCTTTTTTCATTTGCAAATGACATTCTCCCTCTCATCTTGCTTAATGCAATGAACATCTTCAATTGGAAGCCTTCTTCCCAGAATCCATTCCATGCTAGCTACCTGCACCAAATTCCACTGAATTGGCATAGGATGCAACAGGTACGACACATTACATAGAAAATCCATCTCAGACACTTGGATCTGACCATCAAAAAATCATTGAGGTTGGAACAGATGCCTCAACAGCCAATCCCCTGGTCCAATAAGGGTAAACTTATGCAGCCTTCTCTGTACTCTCTCCAGTTTGGTTTTCACTATCTCCAAGGACGGAGGCTTCACAAACTCTCTATCAGTCCATTCCAGTGCTCACCACATTTATAGTAAAAATGTGTTTTCTAACGTTGAGATAGAATTTATCGTGTTGGCAAGTGTGTCCATTGCTGCTTCTCCTGTCACTGGGTACCACTAAAGATCATGGCTCAGTCTTCTTTAGATACTTCCTCTCACTAGATATTAATAATCATTGATAAGATCTCCCTGAGTCTTTCTTTTTTGCAGGCTAAACGATGCATTCAAAAGGTGGGTCTCTCCTTGCTGGATTTGTTCCAGCGAGGACCACATAGCACGCTTATACAAAGCATTCCCAACAAGCATGCAGTATGTAGATCAATTCCATTTTGACATACCTGTATAAAAGGGAATAGTGCAATACAGTACCCTGATGATGCAAGGGCATCACACAACATTTAGTATTGTTCATTTTGACTTTAATGACTTCCAAGAAAAGGGTTACATGATCTCTAGCCATTTTACTGGTGATATCCTGTATGGTAACTGTTGAATCATGGCCTAAATCACTGACTGATCACCTGGGGAAAGGACCTGGTCAGCCCAGAGAGCACAGGTGAAGGCAATTCAGCTGTGTGACCAGAAGGGATGGAGCCTGGCTGCACCTCTCTTACACCCCATTTAAAGGCTGACTGCCATGGGGGAAGATTTCTTCTTGGGAAAGTTTTCCTCTGTGAGCCTAGAATCTTCTGATAGGGGTGAGCGATCTTCTTTCCTTCCTTTATAGCACCTCTCTTTTGTGCCAGGTGTCATCACACTTTTGCTGTAACGCCTTTCCCAATGTACTGATCTGTCCAATTGCTACATACCCCCATCTGACTGAGTATCCTATTGGCAGCATTCCTAGCTTTCTCCAGTGTTTGATACCAGTTTGTAACAAGTTTTAGAAAGAAATTAAAGATGAAGACGTAAGTGCCACAACATAGAAGAAGACATCCTTTCTTTTACGAACTTTCTAGTAACCCAAAGATCCATCTGCCATGAAGGAGAAGAGTCTTACAAATAATAATGCTTTTCAGAAGACAGAGTGCATTTGAACCTCATGCAAAGATAAACATATTTATTTTGAGGCATTTAAGAAGTAGGAGTTCACAGTTTTTGTCTTTCTTCCCCTTTCCAGGGGATAATCTTTTTGTTTGCAGAAGTATCAAAAGAGACGTGTATTTCTGTTAGCAGACCACCTCCTGTCAAGTACTCAAGGGGGAAAAATAAAGCAAAAACAAAAAACACTTTCATAACAAGGAAGTAGCAATCGAAAGCTATAATGTTATCTGCTGAAAAAGTGATATTAAAATGTTGACATTCTCTAACCTGGCAGATTTGTTGCTTCTTTGACTCAGTTGGCTGGATTTGGATCAAAGACAGAAGTTCTGTGGACAGAGCTTTTAAAAGGTTGCAAGATGCAACTGTTTGCATGTGAACATAGAGGCTTCACTATCTTTCACAACACAATCCTACAGACTACAGAAAAGCTTACACAATTTCATGACCACATAGCTTACTTGGAGAATTATGCCTCCTACCCCTTCTTTTCTGATGTTCTTCAGTACGGCACTTAAATGAATTCCTCATAAACATTTGCAGAGTAGTCAATGATCTCACTGTAAAAGACAGTCCCAGCTACATACCTAAGTGTTAGCTTTCAAAGCTGATGTGTAAATTCATGGTTTAACATAAGTCAAAAAGTCAGTAGTTCAAGGGATGTTTTTCACTAAAAATCACCTTAATTCAAAGCATCCCATTTTCTCTGAAAATGTGCTAGTAGGACTAGTTTCTTCCCTATTTCATAAAACTGAAGCTTTCAAATGAAGGTAAGTATAACTATTTCCATAAAACAATTCTAGTATTCTTCTAGTGAAAGTTCAGATCAAAGATGGACTGCTTCCAGATAACACAAGCTGTGTCAAGCACTGTTTTAAGTAACTTCCTGTTACAGGTAGGGGACAACCTCATGTAGAGGACTTGGAATTGCCAACAAATTCATATAATTTAGACTTTGAATAATAGTGCTTCCCAGATACACATATGCTAACATAACAACAGCCTTCCTTCTCTCCTCACCAACAGGGTCCTTCCCATGTAGCTGAAAGAGCCATTTGAGCAAATGCTGGGGAGGCACTGCAATGAAAATCAGCTCAATTAGCTTAGCAATTTTGAGCAGCTGAGCCAACAACAGCAATATATCAGATGACTAAACCAAAACGTACAGGCAGCCAAGCATCTATGGTCTATGATCATTTAAATGAGTGAGGGATGCGTGACCATGTAGAGCATTTACAGGGTAGCTGACCCAAATAGATCAAAGGAATATTCGGTACCACACAGTGCCATACTCAACAACAGAACTGGATAGATGGCTGGGTGTGCTGTCATTGCTTGTGGACTGGCTGGGTAGCAGTTGACTAGTGCTAAGCAATTGTGTGGTGCATCACTTGTGAGATTGGGTTATTTAAGCTGCTGTTGTTGGTTTCCTATCTAATTAAGCTGTCTTTCTAACTTTTGCCCTCATGATTCCCAATTCTTTTTCTCCATTCACTGGGCAAGGAAGAACAAGCAAGCAGCTGTGTGGTGCTTTGCTGCTTAGCCAAGTCAAATCCTTTGAGATGATGATAGATTTTACTGGATTGTGAAGACCAAATAGATGCTAGAGCTGCTTAGCTGCTAGTATGCAGGCCTCCATGCTCATATGGGGCTTGTTTGTCTTACTGTGTATTAGAGTCCAATAGCTGTTAGTAGCTGCTGGGGGATGCATTGGAAAGCACAGTACCCAGGCATGACATAAATGATATGGAATAAGGGGTGGACACTGTCCTCATTTTGGTTGGAGTAGAGTTTCTTCACTGTAGCTGGTATTGTGCAATGCTTTACATTTGTAATGAAAACAGTAATAACAATACAATGATATTTCAGTTGTTGCTGAGCAGTACTTATACAGAGTCATGGGTTTTATAACAGTTTCTCTCACTGCCCCATTAGGGGGACTACTGGAGGTGCATAAGAAGCCAGAGAGGACACCACCAGTTAAAATATTCTGTACCATATAATATTATTCTCAACAAAACCAGGGGGAACTTGAGCAGGAGAACTGGTGGTGCTCCGGGACTGGCTAGGCATTGGTCAGGCAGTAGTGAACAACGCACCGTGCATTGCTTGAGTTTGCTTAGTTGCAGGTTGTTGTTTTTTCCCCTCTTTTATTTTTCTTCTTTCTTATGAAACTGTCTTGATCTCAAACCACAAGTTTTCTAACTTTGCCCTCCTAATTTCCTTCCCCCTTTTCCCCTGCAGGGGAAGGAGGGGAACAAGTAGCTGTGGAGGGCTAAACTGCTTACTCAGGTTAAGCCATGACAGTGCCTTTGAATAATTTACGACACCAGATAAACGATTCAGAACAAGTAAATTTATATAAAGTGGAAAAAAAGTACAAAAGTAGAGATGAGCTCAGAACTGGATGTGCTACAACCTATTACATGAGTAGTACTTTCACATACAGTCAGAAAGCAAAATAGGATATAGCTACAGCTATTGGCCTACAGTTGAAAATCTGTTTACAAGGTGTTGCAGGTGTTCAAAAAATCCGAATTGTTGCAGCCTCTTCCATGTGATACAAAGTATTGTGGCCTCAAATTGCGCACAGACTGCTGTCATGGGCACCACAGTACAAAAAGGGAGACAAAACTATTACAGAGTGTCCAAAAGAGGGTAACAAAGACAGCGAAAGGTTCAGAGTGCAAGACACATGAGGAACAGCTGAGGTCCCCTGGTTGGTTCAGCACAGAGCAGAGGAGCTGAGGGGAGGCCTCATGGCAGCTGCAGCCCCTCACAGGGAGCCGAATGGCAGCGCTGAGCTCTGCTCTGTGTGACAGAGACAGGGCACAAAGGAACAGCACGAAGCTGTGTGAGGGGAGGGTCAAGTTAGACAATCAGGAAAAGGTTCTTCACTGAGAGGGTGATCAGGCACTGGAACAGGCTTCCCAGGGCAGTGGTCATGGCACCAAGCTTGCCAGACTTCGAGAAGTGTCTGGACAACACCGTCAGATATAGGATCTGATTTTTGGGTGATCCACTGTGGAGTCAAAGAGTTGGAGCTGCTGATCCCTGGGGTTTCCTCCCAACTTGGGATATTCTATGATTCTATGAAACGCAGAGTCATCCATGCATAATAAACTCCATTTGATTGTTCACAGATGATCCTCAGGCTTCATTTTTCCTTATCTCACTGAAACCAGCATGCAAGTCTGACAAAAAAATATCAGCTGAATTAATGTACTGAAGTGTCTTCAGATTTTAACTCAAATTAAACAAATGAACAGGCTTTGCCAAGACAGACTGTCTTTGCCAAACCAGTCATTGCTTTATTGCTTCTTCATAGACTTTTAGTACAGTATAAGAAAATAAACTGACCTATTACATGCACATTTCAAAATTCTACAAAACAGAAAGCACTAAGCGACCTCCAAAAGGTTTCATCCAACTTGAGCTACTCTGCAAAAGAGGTGGCTGTAGACCTTGCCTACAGTACACAGAGTAAATGAACTTTTTATAGCAGCAGGATCATTCTAAACTAGGGAATACACGTGATTATTTCCTCCAACATATTAAAATCTAGTGGAATAGCAGTATCAGCACTGTCATTTATGAATTCAACATTTGTCGTGTTATTAAATATAAATTTGGAAATCTGATCACTGTGAGAACCGTTTCTTTGCAGGAGCTGTCATACCTTGGCTGACCTCCAGCTTACATAGAACAACCATATGTTTTGGGTGGCCAGGGGAAATAAAGAGCCAAATTGACATATGGAATCTAAGTGCTCTTGAACTGCGATAACTGTTACTGAATAACAATAGTCAGAATTAAATGACTGAAAGTAGCCAGCACTGTCAGTTTGTTAGAGTCAGTACAGATAATATAGGAATATATGTGTGAAAGAGATTAAGTGCACATCCAACACAAACCCTTTTGTATGGAAGATAGTCATATCTCATTGCCTATCACTAGATGCTCAGGGCAAACTTCTTCCTCCCCCTCTCCCCACATTCTTTAGTACACATATTTCATGGGTTCCAAAACGAAGAAAACATGGTTCCTCCCCCCCCAAGAAAAGTGAAACAAGTACAGAAGAGGGAAAAAATGTAAAATAAAATCACAGAGGATGAATACCTTTCTCCACAACTCTAAGCCGGATTTCTCCTGGTTTGACAACAATATCAGGTGGGTTCTTGACATCACAAATGTAAGTGCCATTGTCCTGGAACTGCATGTTTGATATACTGATAGAAGCATCTTTCTTGTTAAGATCTCCAGCCCAAGTGACCCTGTCTTTAAATGGTATGTCCTTTCCAGTGTACGGCTTTCCATTGGAGTAATAGAAAAACTGTAGTCAAGGAAAAGAGGATAAGAACAATTTAATTAGATACTATGGACATACTATACTTTCTTGCTGTTACAGCACTATCCTAGAATTCACTATAATACTCAGCTAGTATTACAGATTTTACGTTTTTCTTTTGTTTTGCCTCCTGCCTCACATTAATTTGGCTTGTTGCATCTTAATCATGTAACAAATGCTATGGCTTACACCTCAATTATACTATCATAATAGACTGCAAGGTTTGGTTTTCTTTGTTCTTCCTTTCTCCCATTTTTGAGGACATAGGATTTGCCAGACAAAGAGAAGAGAAAAATATTAGTAAGCTGGGGATAATTACAGTATAGAACTGTTCTGGATCACAGCCATCTGTCTTTCAGGCAAAGGAAACCTTGCTTGGCCTAGCAGGAAAAGGATACCAAGTTTCCTATCTTGTGTGTTGCTGTGTGTGTGACTGAAAATCACAGTATAGCTTAATTAACAGACAATACCTTCCTCCCCTCTGTTTCCCAGAATACTCCACTACTCCAATAGAGTGCATCTAGCTGTGTTCCAGAAACCTTTAAGGTGATTAAATATAGTCACCTAAAAATCAGAAAACAGCTAAGTCCTTAAAGCTGAATAAAAAAAAAAAAAAAAACTTTTAAGGAGAAACTGCACCTTTTCTCATTATACCTGTCCAAATGTATAAGTTACAGCAGTAGAGGAGCTCTACAGAATAGCGGTCTGCTTTCAGACATATGGGATGCTTAAGCATTGGACATGACCTTAGAGAGTGATCAAGGCTGTATTACAGGAGATTATTAATTATTTCACATTCTGAAAGAGAATGAAACAATCTTAGCTTGACTAAAACTTAATCTGAGTTCTCCACAGTTCAGCTTCTGGAGCATGGCTAAAGAAATCTAGGACTATCTTCCAACTTCCTCTTTCTACAGCTCTCCTTATAAAGGAGTTCCTGTTCCACAGAAGAAACTGGTTGCAAGCTAGTTCTCTTTCCATCCAAGCCATCTCCCATCTTTTTACCTGTTCCTACCTTGATCTGAAGGTTGTCCACTCTGAAACTAGGGAGTCTGGTACTAGAAACCCTTTTAAAGGGAAATTAAGCAGAACAAAAGCAGAAAATAAGCAATATGTACAATACATAACACTATAATAGTGGTAATTCGGATTACACGAGCAGTTTCACAGTTCGTTTCCAAGTACAGGAGGATACAGAATTTCTAAGATTCCCAGATGCTCATCTACTTCCTCTATACAGCTGCCACTTCAACATACTGTTCCTCTGACTGAAAAACTACTAGCACCTTTTAGAGCTGCTGCATGCCCCAGCCTTTGCCAAGATCTAGCATGTTGCAATACTCTTAAGCAGCTCTTAAACAACAAAATAAAGCCACGCTGAAATCAGAGCAATAGAGACAAGACACATGAAAGAAGGCTTCAATCCATATTTACTGCCTTTAAAACCAAGCAGATCTCTGCATAGTTTCACAGCCTCCCACCCCCGCTAGGTTCCCTACAGCCATTCCTTACTGAGATACGAGTTGCTGCTCCTTCTGGTTGAAAACTCCAAGAAACAGATGCTGCGCTGCTGATCACCTCCACGGATGTAAATGTGCATGGAAGCTTTACGTCTGTTTCATTCTCCACAAATATCTCCTCTGGTGTGGTGACTTCTACTGCCGACACTTTGACTGTATAGAAAAGGTAAAGAGAAGAAAGAAGTAAAACAAGAGGCATCAGTGCTGTTTGAGAGTCAGGAAGTTGCAGCGGTAACTGTTTGTATCACATCACTTTTTAGGGGAAAATTGCAAAGAGACAGCAACAACTCTGCAAGCATGTGCAGAGGCAGTGCATTATACTTACAATACAAGCAAGTATACAGCAGGTCAGTTCACTACTCTTTCCGTGTATTATCTGTTACAGGATGTTTTCCATCCACAGATGTTTCCTCTACAACAGTTTATGGAAATCATTTGTATAGTGCAAAGGATGCATTTGCACTCTTCCCTACTGGCTGTCAGCAGAGACTATAATAAATAAGATCCACTGGAGGAACTAATATCTTGATCCCAGCTATTACTCAGTTTCCTCTCCAGCTCACATCTTGTTTCCTATCTCTTCAGCTTCTCTCAGCTGTAGGTGGAACAAAAGCTCACCTCCACCAAGCTGAACAGTGAACTTCTCTGGCTCCCAACTATGCTACTTGATTCTATTCTCTGGCATGCCTCAAGGTCTTCATGTTCAAGACTTCAAGAAAAAAAAAAAATCATCACCCATGTACACTCCAGAAGCATGAGAGCAGCTTGATTTCTTTCCATCATGAGGAATACGTACAGTCAAAGCAGCCAACAGACTACAATCACAAGATTAATTTTATGACTGTACCAGTGGTATTCCTCTACATAGTACATGAAGTTATTCAGGATGTAAAAAAAAATTGGTTAATATATTCTTCATCTGGCGTAGTTTAAGACTGCAAAGGCACTGTTCAGGCTTAAGTGGAGAGACAGTACAAGCAAGCTTCTTCTGATCATGAGGTTCTTATGTTTTTAGGCCATAACATCCTAAAGGGCCTTACTTTCTTACTATAGGTGGAAAGCATGCCTTCCTGTCAGTTCAGTATCTTGATTTATCAACTTGAATAAACTAGTTCTCAAAGTAGCCAACTGAAAAGAAAGATCACAGTTGAAGACAGTTTTAAAAGCAAACACCAGGACACCCACAGAATCACAGAATTGTAGGGGTTGGAAGGGACCTCCAGAGATCATTGAGTCCAACCCCCCTGCCAAAGCAGGTTCCCTACAGTAGGTCACACAGGTAAACACCCACTTTAGTCCTTAAATGATGGGTTTTATGCTTTTAGTCAATGACAGCTACCAGCTCAGTAACCTTTGAGAGTTTGATAGCAAGCTTCTTTCAAGCAATACAATCATCCTAAGGAGGTACCTATTGTCATAAACTGAGTTGTTTTTAATCAGGGCTTAAAACTAAGCTAAGCCTATACTCCATAGAGAGATTTTAGAAACCAACTTTTACACATGAAACTGTCAGCCTGGTTTGCCAAGGAACAAAACCTGCACAAGCTGTACCATTCAGTCCCTCCCTCACCCCATGACTAATGGGCAAGTCCCTCTGACCGACTGCAGAAAAGGGCCACAAGCACAGCAGGTAATGGCAGCTGGCCCTGCATGGCAGGCCATATGCAGGCTCTGGAAGTGGTCATTCAATCTGTGAAATCACTGAACAATGAAGGAGATGAAAACACCCTGGCCAGCTGGGTAAACCAAGCAATCAGTACGTGCAAGGCTTTGTAAGGAACTGCTGTCTCTCACTCAACTGGCACTGCAAACAAGGGTGAGGCACAGCACGTGCCCAGGCGACATGGAATGAGCATGTAAGCACTGCAAGCGTGGAAGAATTAAGCGTGCTGATTTAATTACAATAACCAAAAACAGAAGAAGCCACCATTCATTTACATTGCCATTCAAAGGCCATTCTGTTCACTCCTCAGATTCACTCTCTTCAGTCCCATCAGGTTATCCCCGATTCTTCTGACTCCCCTGTCACCATTGCTCTCATTTCAAATGAGTGAAAGAGAAACAGCACCCTAAGGGAGGGGAATTTTCATCAACAGCTTTTTTCTCTTGTACGTATTCTGTGAGCCAAAAAATATTCTTTTGTAAAATAATTACCAAATATTTGTTTGGAACATACAAAGGCTTCTAGCCATCCCATTAAATGAACTCAGAGCTGCTGTGCTTTATGTATTTTTTCCAGCTAATGGAGTGGAGGAGAAAAAAAATAATTCATTGTTTTGAGTCCAAGCCACAGAACAAGTCTTCCTTTCAAGCGCAAAACAAGCAAGATGCCCTCAGCATTTATGTAGGAGGACAAATAGTCTGCACAGACATTGTCTGCTTGTACATGGTACAGAGAACTCCTTGCCACAAACAGGGAGTGGGAAGCACAGATCAGCTTCTAAAGAAATCCCTGTTCTAACTTAGTAACAACACGTGAGAGAAATGTAGTAAAGAAATCCAACTTCTTCCTACAGTCAGAAAGGCAGGAACTATGTAATAACTTGTTCAGGGACTTTACAGACAGTTTAGTTTTTTTACTTTCCACTTGTTGTCTCAACTTCACAACTTTCTTTGCTCATTCTCTCCCTTCCCCCAGCACAGAATCGTAGAATCACTCAGGTTGGAACAGGCCTTAAAGATCATCAAGTCCAACCGCAATCTAACCATACTACCCTAACTAACAACCCTCCGCTAAATCATGTCCCTGAGAACCATATCCAAAGGGTTTTTAAACACATCCAGGGATGGTGACTCAACCACTTCCCTGGGGAGCCTATTCCAGTGCTTAACAACACTTTCTGTAAAGAAGCTTTTCCTGTTATCCAAACTAAACTTACCCTGGCACAATTTGAGGCCATTTCCCCTCATCCTGTTACCAGTGAGAAGAGACCAACTCTGCTCTCGCTGTAAGCACCTTTCAGATATTGGAAGAGAGCAATAAGGTCTCCCCTCAGCCTCCTTTTCCCCAGACTAAACAGCCCCAGTTCCTTAGTCTCTCCTCATAGGGCACATTCTCCAAGCCCTTCACAAGCCTTGTTGCCCTTTTTTGGGCCTGCTCCAGCACCTCAATGTCCTTTCTGTACTGAGGTGCCCAAAAATGAATAAATAAAAAGGTCACTCATCATTTGCTCCTTCAGCACACATCACTAGAACATTGTTTTCTTCCCCCTGCTATCTTATAGCAAGAGACATGACAACTTGGAAGCAGTAAAAAGGCCACAGTGTTTGTTATTTGTTCACTCTTAGCCCTCCACTTATACTTTTGGGTATACAGTAGCAGTTTGGGTATATACAGTAGCAGTTCCCACTACCTTGAACTCCTTCATCTCCCCTGCCATAAAACCACACAGATAATCTCCAACCCTAGATTCTCACCCTCTCTTTCCACTTTGACCAGACTGACATACCTTTTCCGTACCTTTTATCTATTTAAATACTTCAGTTGGAGAGAGTTGAGTTTGGAGTCATATTCCAATGACATTTACCTACTGGTCCCATTCCTCAGGCTTTCTGAGCTTTAATTCTATTTAAGAAGGAAAAAAAAATTATCAGGACACCATCAGAGAGAGCATAGCCTGAAGAATGGAAGCTCTGCAAGCCAAGTAGGGCAAAGATAAACATGCATTATTTGCTCTTCTCCCACCAAACCTCATTTATCCTACCATCTTTTCCAAATTCCTGAAGTCCCAGTATTTGCATCTGAACACCTCTTCTAACCTTCAATTGCTTTAATTCCTCTCAACAGAAACGTGCTTTTTCCCACCAATCCTCTAAATGGGCCTCCTCTTCCATTTATTTTCCTCTCTCTAGCATTGCTGGAGTTGTTTTACTCTGATTACATCAATCTTCAAAAATTAAACTCTCAGCCACCACACTCCAGTGAAAATACTTCAAATCCAAAGTCCAATGGCTCATCCCCTGCCAAGCCTTGGGACCAGTGCTCCACCTTCATTTTCTTTCCCAGGCAACTCCTCTATTCCTCAAATAGGATGAGACGCTCTTCCTCCATCCTATCCCTTCTTATTGTTCCCAAATTGGACCTTCATCCTGCATCAAGGCTATTTTCACATCTCTTCCCTCGGTAGCTTGCATCTGGATCTCACTGCAGAATACATTCAATCGCCAGCACTGCACTGGCTTCTCAGACCTTCTCTGCTCAGGGTCTGTCTTCTCTGTTCAAATAATCTCAGTCCAACATCTTTGTCAATGCTAAATTGTCAGTTCACACTGACAATGTGCTGTAAAGCACAGCACATTTCTTCCCCCAGAGCCTTCTACCACTGCATTTATCACCACGGTTTATCACCATGGACCAGAGCCACATGCCTCTCTGACTCAACAAGAACAGTGTTTTTCACTTTTCTTCAGTAAGAGGATATAGATGAAACTTCCCAAGTCTTTCAGAGTTTCCAGCCACCTGCACAGCTGACAGTAGTCCAAGAACTCCACTTTGTACAATAACAAAGATACATTTTGCTCTGGATTTGAGGAGTACTTCTGGGCTTCTGTCAATAGATACTGTGATTATTTTCTATAAGTTATTTCAATTGCAAGCTTATCTACATCTTTCCGCCTTTATATTTTTACAGAAATATAAATCATCTCACACACTTCTCACAGGAAGCATCTCATGGCCTATTTCCTAGCAGTTCTTATTTAGGGTAGGATCAACAACACCTGCATCAGCTAACTAGTAGGTAGCTTTTGCCTCTGGCCGCTGAATCCCCAGAAGCACAAAAAGGAAGGAAGGATCCTGACTGGCTTCTTCTGCACAGAATGGATATATTCACTGCGTATCAGAGCTTAAAAGCTGAACATTCAGTTACCACAGCAGGATGCCACTACTGATGTCCTGCGCTTTGAACGTGAGCTGAAGTTACCACAAGGAGCAACCATTGCTCACGTTCCCCAAACACTACCCTCAGCACCAACCAGCTGACATCCAGGCAACAAGAACGCCTAAGGCATTGTTTCTATCTAGTGACTAAATGACCTCACTGTAAAGTAAAAGACTAGAAGAAGGAGGGGAAAAAGTAAAAAAGAAAAAGCTGTGCCATTGGTAAAGTAGAAGCACGACATCTGGCAGACTTGAATCAGTCAATACATAGCAAAGACAGCTGGAGAGTCACAATATCAAGCACGACATCCCAAATGCTATTTTGTTCTACTGAAAAAGACAAACACTAATAATATAATCATTGGGAACTGAATACTAACTGCTCCGAGGGTAACATTAGGAAGATATCTCATATACAAGACCACAATTTTCTGCTACAAATTGATGGCAGGAGATACAGAGCTTGCCATACACACACCAGAACAAACATGACACCGTTATAGAGTATCTCCATCTACCAACTTTACTGACTAGGTACTGTTTCACTTTACTTGCTGTAAACGAATAAGACCTTCCTAACTCTGAAGGTACTACAGCAGCTAAAGCAGATTCAAAGACTCAGAGCTTCTAGGTTCCATTGTAATAACACCGCAGCATGTTTGCCACAGGATATACAAAGCTAGGGAAAGAGTTGCATGTTTTCAGCTATTTCAGTCCTGACTCAGAACACAAACCCCTGGCATGCATATGTCAGCACTGATATTATTATGAGTGGAGCAATGTATTGCTCTGAAACCACCTACATGAAGGAATCCTTTACACTTACCCAGCAGCAAAGTATAGGAAGACAAAGTCATTCGGAACGGATAGCAGACAAGCGTTCTTAACCACAAGAGTTTGCACCTAGTTAGTTAAACAAATTATGGTTAACTATTCAACTTCCGGTGAGGCCATCAAGCGTACAGTATTCATCAGAGAATACTCTGAAAAGATTGCAGCATGACACTGCTAATTGAGCTTCACCAGCACCTTCCAAATGGGGTACACTTCAATGGAGAAGGTGGCTAACCACTCACTACAGTGCACTGAGGGTGATCTCCCTGCAGCCATTCCCTCTGGGATCTTTGTCCAGGTCAGTCGAGACCAAGTCGCACATGATGGGAACCAAATCCGTGCAAGAACCCTTACGTGTGTGACTAGTTATCTAACAGGTCAAAGTCTGGATACCTCCCCTTGTCTTATACTGCTCTCCACGTTCAAAACTGCATTCTTATTCCTTCTGATAGCCAATGTCCCTAACAATTTGGAGGATCTGCTTAAACACTGCAAGCTTATTTCACTTCCTTCAAGCTCTCTTAAAACGTGTCCAAACATTTGGCAACAGCACCTGCACAAACCTAACAGTGACCAAGCTGGCAGTGCTTAGAAACAAATGTTCACTTAAGCTGTTGTTTTTTTGTTTTGTTTTCCCCCCGTTGCTTTGTATCCTGATTGCTCACACTTTCTTCATGATGATTAATGGAAAAAAAAAAAAACAAACCCACAAAACATTAGGGCAAGATTTGATTTTTCATGTTTTTCTTGTACAATTTTGTATACAAATATAGGGCACCTGCTGTGCTAGGCAGTAGCTGAAAATAGAGCTTGGTAATATTTCACAAGGAAAGTTTTTCTTGACACTGAAAGTTTACACTAATTAATACATAGTTGGAAGTCTTTTAGAGACCAGTCTGCGCCGAGATCACGACCCAAAGAAAGAGTTCTGTTAATTAAGACTATGAACATACCAAAATAGACTTGATTCCTCTGGATCCAACTCAGCTTGATCACTAGGAGTGCCAACAAAATTACAACACAAACTAAAGCTGTAATCATAGGCATTTTATTCCACAAGTACTAATACAGTCTAAGTGAAAACTTTTATCAGACCACCAATAGATGTGACAGTTTCTGAAATACGTTGTCCTCCTCCTGAAATGACTAGTCATCAGTTTACTAATTAATACAAACAAATTGCTTCATTTATCTTAAAGATGTCTAGTTTCAATTATAAATAATGTCTCTTATGGATGAAAGATCAGGAAATAATCAAAAAGTCTGATGAAAGAAGGATTGTTAAAAATTCAGGCAGGCTGCAACAGGTAACAAGTTGACAACAGAGCCATGAATCAAGAAGAATGGATGCATTAATACAGCAGACTCAACAGCTCACATTTAAAGGTCTTGATAAAACCAAAATAAGTCAACATATCTGTATGTTTATAACTGCTTCACTAGCAGCTGTAATTTTCCAGGAGCAAAAGAGGATGTGAGATTTTTCTAGTGATTAGGTCATAAGTCACAAAAACTATATACGCTTGCTAAAGAGTGTTTTCATTAAGAAACAACATCATTGTGAAACATAGTCCACTGTTGACATCTCTCTCAAACTACAGTTTCATGACATTTAGTTATTCCTCATACTAAAACGTCTTCATATACAACCAGCAAGAAACAACAGCACTCAGCTCCCTACAACATGTTTGAGAAAGGCAGCACAAAGTTATACTTCCCTACTACAATTATAGGCACCTATTTCTCCTTAGGCCATCATTACCTCCTTTTCAATAAGATATATGCTGGAGCAATTCTATCTTTGATGGTCTCAACAGCTAGGAGCAGACAAGCCCAAATAACTCCTCTGAGATCTGCTGAAGTATCCAGATGTGGGATCAAACTTCCACATGAAGAATTCATTGATGCAGTTTAGTCTTAACACAAAAGAAAAATCCATGTAGGCCATTCCAGCCAATAGTAAAACATGCTGTATTTCCTAAGAAGAACATACAAATATTAAGAAGCCATATACCTTGGTATAAGAAAGAACAGACTGCCCAACCACCTCCACACCAGAAATCCATCATGGTGTTACCTGAAGTCTCATTGAGTGTATAGATATAAAAATGCATATATGCATGTATAATCCTATATACATATTATTGCACATCACTTTGTTGGGTTGAACCTACCTGGCTCCTAGACACCCAATCTCTCACTCCTGCTTACCAAATAGGACACAGGGAGAAAATAAGATGAAAAAGCTCATGGGTGGAGATAAAAACAGGGTGATCACTTGCCATTTACTATCACAGGCAAAACACATTTGACCTGGGGAAAGTTATTTTAATTTGAAATAAATTGTATTAAAAGATGGATTGTGAGTAGAAAAAAAAAAAAAAAAAAATCAAGCTCACTTTCACTCATTTCCAATTCTTCTCCCTCCCCCCCCCCATGCAGCCTGTGGCATATAGAAGGTTTACCATCAACGCATAATGGCTTCTCTCTGCCACTCCCACCTCCTCACACTTTTTCCCCAGTAAAAGCACATGTCCTTCCCACGGGCTGTGATTCTTCAGGAGAAGCTGCTTCTGCATGCACTCCTTTGGGGTGTGGATATCTCCTCTTCCATGGTCTCTTCCACAAGATGTAGGGAAATACCAGCTCCATCATACTTTCTTCCACAATTTTTGCTGCAGGGGCATCTCTGCTCCAATGCCTGTGGCACCTCCTCTGCCTTCTCTTCCCAAGGTGCCTGCAGGGCAGTTTCTCACTCTGTGCCCCTGTCCCCTGCCTGCCAGATGATGTTTTTCCCTTTCTTCCCCAAGCTGCACCCAAAGCATTGCCCTGTTGGCTGCTGGGCCAGGCCTTACCTCACACGGCAGCATGGTAGCCTCTAGCCCAAATCTGGACAGAATACTCAATATATTCATACAGAACACAAAGCAAAATCAGCTACAGAAAGGATGACCAGACAAAAATCATACCAGCCACTCCTAATGCCTAAGTTTCAAAGCAGCAAAGACTAAGTGCAGCTGCCTCAAAGGAGGGGAGAACCACCTAGCTCTACTCTGAATCATCAACCACCAGAAAACCACCAGTGCTGCAGCAGTTTCTCAGGTTTCCTTTCTCACCAAGTACTTCAATGCACTAAAGAAAGAGAGTTTCCTGCCTTTGGTAGCACAGCCAGTCCTGCGGCACCCTAACAGCTCTGAGCAGCAGAAATGCTGCTGACACCTTGCCTATGAACACCTACCACTGACTTGCTGCTGGGAATGAATGATCATCCCCCAAGCAGATATGGGCCCAGAAGAACAGCTGCTAACACATTCGCTTTCTGTTGGCCTCTTTGCACAGTCAGTTGGGCTCTGCCTGACTCAAAGATAAGAGAAAAAGTGAAAAAACACTGCATTTTATCTCAAGTGGAAGAAATAAGGTTTTGCTGAAAGCCTTAGGCAGGCTGTGGTAACACTGTCAATAACTGTGTCACTTTGCCCTGCATATCTCTGTGTACCTATTTGACAGAACTTACAGACAAGTCTTACAGTCACATTGGTACCAGCTTCTACAAGCTCGGTTTTTCAGGTAGTTTCTTTCATATTATGCAGAGCTGTACGTTATTTCACAAAGGGGCAGCAGAAGAACTCCTGCCAGATTTACATCTCCAGATCACACTTGTAACAAGCAACTATGGACATGAGAAACAGCATGAGAAACAGCAGAGTGCCTGAGCTCCCTTGCAAGATAGGCCACAGATTTCTTTCTCTACTGTACTACTCCCTCAACTTGGAAAGTATAAGAATGTAGATGCTTGTGAAGGCCCAGAGTTCCACAAACAAGTATTGCTGTTGAACTGCTTAATGTTCCACAGTTACACAACCAGTCATATGTCAGGTTTGGGCAGATCCGTATTTAGCATAGAAGGTGATAACATCTAGCCCCACTCTAGTAACTTTTCCCCACGGATCACAAGGCAATATACTTCCCTGCCTATGCCAGAGAGTGGGATGCTTTCCAACCTTACGTGGTTTTCCTTCCGTTACCAACTCAGTTTACAGGAGTTCAAGTTCAAGTAAACAGTTTTTGTTGACCAAGTCAAACCGAAACAATTAAAGACCTAAAGAGACGAGTAAACTTACTTAAAGTGCAAAGGGTATCTGGAACAGCTGATAACAACTATTTTACCTCTAATCATGCAATACTAACACAGCTGCTAGCAAACACAGCCGTTTATCCCTGCGCACAAGAAAAGGTTCATGAAAATAGGAACTAAGATTAAAGAAGAGCAACAGAGAACAAGATAAACAATATACCTTAAAAGAGTCTCCTTGAAACACAGTGGTCTTCTCCCACAAAAAAAGAACTTTAAGTTTGTTTAACTACAGAACTGAAAGAAACTGAGTACATATGCTCAACATGTGACAGAGATATTGAAGAAAGAATCCCATCATCACAAACGTTTCTTAGAATTATTACAGCAATCCACTAAAACTGTCGCAATGCCTACTAACATACAATATCATGGATCAGAAGTTGGAAATAAAAAGAATTCAAGGCACAGACAGCAAAGGTATTTGTCACTGGCTGGAACAACTGCCTCCATTCTAGGTCAGCACTAGGTACCAGTACAGTTGAAATGAAATGGTATTCAGGTGGTTTTAAGAAATAAAAACACAACCATGTTGTGAACTGCTGATAATCTAGTGCTCAAAATCTAGCACTAGCAGCACAGAAACTAAGCCATCCAACTGATTACCAACCTGCAGCTAGCAGGATTGGACAAGGCCAATCTGTTCTGGTATGAAGGGAGACTTACTTTCAATAGCTCGAGCAAACTTAAAGCTCTCTGCAGACTCTATCCTGTACCACCTCCACTGATGCTTGCTCACCCTAATCTTTCACTACTTGCTAACCAAACTTGGTAGCAAATTCAGTAAGCTAATAACTACTTATAACCTGTGTCAGCGTGACTACAAAACCAAAAGAAAAAAAACTGGTGCTACATATTTTCAAGAAATTCTTGCTTCACAAGACTTTGTCACTGATGGTGCCAATTTAAATAGGTCCCATGCCCACTTGTGATGTAACATGATGAATCTGACCAGGAACTAGCTCATGTTCAAAAAAGCATTTCTTCTATTGTTTTCCTTTAAACCAGACCAACACCCTAACCCAGTTCACTATTCACCACGTTTGCACAACAATGACTGTGCAAGATTAGGAAGAAATGACTAGCAGCTGCTTCAGACAGCTTGCCTGAGGAAGACTTCTCTTTTGGAAGTGCTGATGGCTTTGCTGCTCCCTCTCTCTATAGCACTTTCTCAGTTTACACCAAAGCACTTCTAGAGACAACCCTTCCAAGTAAGGCAGCACTTTCACCCGTGCCTGTGCCGACTTTGTCAAGCTTTAGGGTATGCAGCATCACCACACAGCCAACAGCTCTTCCCCTTCCACACTGGAAGAGTGAAGCAAATGGAAAATTCCAAGATGCATTAGCCAATTAGATCTTGGAAGTTCTGTTACATACGCAGCTTTATAGAATTTATTACCAAGAGAGCCCTGTTCACCATATTTCACTTCAGTACGTTACAAAAACAAGTTACCAAAAATTGTAACTGATGGGAAACAGACAATTGAGGATGATCTCCTACACTGGCTATTTCACCTAAATTCACACGCCCTGATTTGACCCACCTCAAGTATATCCAGCAAGCTTCCTTAGCCCCACTTAACATTATGTGTATTAAGAGCCAGCAAATGTACCGCAAAGCATCTTCTGCCAGATTGGAAGGAGAAATTCATATGACAATCAGCTTTCTTGTTCTCCTCATGCATTTCAAGGCAAAAGGTAGAGCAGCACAAACTGGAAACTGCTAACCCAACAGTGAAGATAAAAATGCAGAAGCTGAAAGACGCAGCAGTAGAAGGGAACAACGTACATGTGACTTGATGTAATCACCTACAAAACAGGCTTTTTTAGGTCAGCTAGCAGACTGATCTGATCACTTTAAAGTGATGAAGGTGGAAAGGAATCACTGGAGAGACTGCCCAACTGAAGGGTAACCTAATCATTCAACTAGTTCAGAAAACAATACTGATGTTGATCATGCATCAAAGTGCATATCCACAGCACCCATGCTATGGGTATGGGTACAGCATACTGTGAAACGCCATACCAAGTAAATACTTGCTCTGCTAAATAGCTGTTGTTCTAAGATAAACATAAATCACTGCAATTTGAATTCCCTATCAGTTCAGACCTTCTTATCCTCTCCTGTCACAGCTTCCGCTTACACAAGAATTCAGTATCCTTTCTATTGCACTAGTCACTATGCACAGTGTAATTCTAATCTAGACCAGCCCACTAAGAAGATAAGCAAAGCTCAAAAAAGAAAAAAAAGACAATAGCCAACACTGTAAGAACGTAAAAAGTTTCCACACTTTTTGATTTATTCCTGGGATATCTTGATTCAATAGTCTTTCAATTTAAACCTGTCAGCATGTTTGCCTTGTAAAACCGGATGGTACCCTGTACAGAACACAGGCACTCACAGCCTACTATTCCCAGTCAGGATAAGACAAGGCCCCTGACACACAATGCAATAGATGAATAACACATTCCCTAATCTACTTCAAGTTAGACAGCAAGTGAAAAGGTTGTATGCATCATTACAGAGAGGTAGAGGACTGGGAGGCTGGGGTCAAGGGAAGCCTGGGCATCTTGGTAATAGCATGTGGCTTGTAAAACATTAACCTATATTTTCAACTTCTTCAGAAATTTATTGCTGCTACAAGCAAGGTAATCTGAGGAATACTCCCACCTACAACCTAGCTAACAGAGAGTTTTCCCACCTTAGCACTTCTTCCCTTTGCAGAAACCAAGTAAGCGCTGCAAGCAAGGAAGTCTTCCTACCTACAGCATCAGTCTTCCTACCTACAGCATCAGCTCTGTTTGAAAGAACTAACTGCTTCTGACTGGTTGAACACAACAAATCCTGACTAAACCTGGCACAAGCATGAAGACAGCACTGCAACCCTGACTTGTACTGTTATTTTCATAAAACATTTCAAGAAG